GTGAAAAGCTGAAGGCTTTTCCTCTAAGATCAAGAAGAAGACAAGGATGCCCACCCTTGCTACTTTTATTGTATCTAGTACTGGAAGTCCTAGCCACAGCAATCAGACAAGAAAAAGAAATATAGGGCATCCAAACTGGTAAAAAATAAAATTGTTACTATTTGCAGATGACATGATACTATATAGAAAACCCTAAAGTCTCCACCAAAAGACTACTAGAACTACTAAATGAATTCAGTAAAGTTTCAGGCTAGAAAATCAATATACAGGAATTTGTTATATTTCTATATACTAATTATGAACTAGCAGAATGAGAAATTAAGAAAACAATACCATTTATAACTACATCAAAAAGAATAAAATATCTAGGATAAATTTAACTAAGGAGGTGAAAGACCTATACTGTGAAAACTGTAAGACATTGATGAAAGAAATTAAAGAAGATACAAATAAATGGAAAGATATTCCATGCTCATGGATTGGAAGAATTAACATTGTTAAAATGGCCATACTACCCAAAGCAATCTACAGATTCAACGCAACCCCTATCAAAATACCAATGGCATTTTTCAAAGAACTAGAGCAAATAATCCTAAAATTTGAATGGAATCACAGAAGACTACAGTCAAAGCAATCTTGAAGAAAAACAAGGCTGGTGGTATCACACTCCTAGATCGCAAACTATACTACTAAAGCTAAACTATAGTAATCAAAACAATATGGTACTGGTATAAAAACAGACACATAGATCAATGAAACAGAACAGAGAACCTAGAGATAAACCAACACGTATATGGTCAATTAATGTAGGATGAAGGAGCCAAGAATATATAATGAGGGAAGGACAATCTCTTCAATAAATGATGTTGGGAAAACTGGACAGCTACATGCAAGAGTGAAACTGGGTTACTGCCTTACATCATACACAAAAATAAACTCAAAATGGATTAAAGACTTGAATGTAAGACCTGAAACCATAAAACTCCTAGAAGAAAACATTGGCAGTAAGCTCACTGAACCAGTCTTAGTGATTTTTTTTGGATCTGATTCCAAAAGTCAGGGCAATAAAAGAAAAAATAAACAAGTGGGGTTACATCTGATTAAAAATCTTCTGTACAGCAAAGGAAGCCATCAACAAAATGAGAAGGTAACTTACCAAATGGGAAAAGATATTTGCAAATCACATATCCAATATGGGGTTAATGTCCAAAGTATCTAAAGAACTCATACAACTCAACACCAAAAACCTGAATACTCTGATTAACAAATGGGCAGAGTATCTGAATAGACATTTTCCAAAGAAGATATTCAGATGGCCAACACACATGGAAAGATGTTCTACATCACTAATCATCAGGGAAATGCAAATCAAAACCACAATGAGATATCACCTTATGTCAGTCAGAATGGCTAGTATCGAAAAGACAAGAAATAACAAGTATTTGTGAGGATATGGAGAAAAGGGTACCCTTGTGCACTGTTGGTAGAAATATAAATTGGTGCAGCCACTATGAAAAACAGTTTGGAGAGTCCTCACAAAATAAAAATAGAAATACCATACAACCCAGTAATTCCACTTACCTGAAGAAAACAAAATCACTAATTTGAAAAGATGTGCACCCCTGTGTTCACTGCAGCATTATTTATAATAGCCAAGATATGGAAGCAACTTAAATGCCCATTGATGGATAAATGAATAAAGGAGAGGTGGCACATATATACAATGGAGTATTACTCAGCCATAAAAAAGAATGAAATCTTGCCTTTTGACAACTTGGATAGACCTTGAGGGTATTATACTGAGTAAATTAAGTCAAAGAAAGACAAATATCAAATGATCTTACTTGTATGTGGAATCTTTAAAAAATGAATGAATAAACAGAAATAGACTCATAAACACAGAGAACAAACTGGTGGTTGCTATAAAGAAGGAGGTATGGGGTGGGTGAAATAGGGATGAAGGGGATAAAGAGGTACAGACTTCTGATTGTAAAATAAGTCACAGAGATAAAAAGTACAGCATAGGGAATATATAGTCAATAATAATGTAGTAATTTTGGTGGCAGATGGTAACTTCACTTTTTGTGGTGAGCATTTCATAATTATATAACTGTCAAATCATTATGTTGTACACCTGAAGCCAATATAATATTGTATACAACTATACTTCAATAAAAATAGAGGGTTCATGGTTCCAAGTCTAGGTAATGTGAAATTGATCCAAAATATTGGTCCCAAACACTGGCCTGTTGATACATAAATGTAATAGAAGGCAAAAAATTTCCTACACTTTACTCTGAGTAGAGAATCCCAAACTGTCTTTCATTTAACTAAAAAACGTGCCCTGCCTTGAAAGACTGTGTTGGTAACAGGAGTGATGAAAATGCCAGGTATTGACTATCACTGGGTTGACCATGAGTCTTTTAAAAATCATTTTAAACAAACAATTCATTAAGAAATCAGAAATGTTTGAGTAGGTCTTTTGGGTGTAAGACCAGGTGAACTTACATTAGGGATGGACAATCAATATATCTGGATTCATAAAGCAATTTAAAAACTGTAGATTTTGTAGATTATAGTAATAATCGCTATGCAACCCTATGTTACTATGCTTATTCTCTCCAGAATGCTCTATGCTAAGCATGCTGCATACAATAAGTTATTTACTCATCTTAAAAGCCTTCTGAAGTGGACATGATTTTGCAGATGGGGAAGTGAAAATGAGAGGCATGAACTGATGTACCCAAAGTCATACAGCTAGATAAGAAATCAACAAATTGAAATCCACTCAGAAATGTTCCCAAAGCACCTCCAAATTGAATGGCTTCTTTGCAGTTCTAGTCCTACAAGAGTTAGTGGTTGAGGTTAGATAACATGGACTTGAATACTAGTTCTGCAACTTAACTGGGGGTGACCTGTGGGACTGGTCTAGGTTTTGGTTTTCGTAATGTATAAAATTGGCAGTTAAATATTATAGCTATTATAGCATTGTGAGTGTGTGTATGTGTGTGAGTTATTGTTGATTTGGATAGTGCATGCATGATTTCAGCCTAGCACCTGCCATAGAGTAAGTTCCAACAAATGTTAGTTGCTATTATATTGTTATGACTAAAGGGTCAGGACCGAGTTGTTTGCATAGATGATCTTGAGTACAACACTAAATTCAGGTTAGCAAGTGGTATAGATATGTTCAGAGCTTTTTCCTGTTAGTGTTGACATAAATATTTTTTTCTAGTATTAAATTGGTCTCTCAGGTGAAGAGTGGAAATTATATCTTAGTCTTTTCACATCATAGTACCAAAGACTCAAGCTCTGAAATGTATTTGTATCTTGCAAATCATTTTATTCTCCTTCTAGAGAATAACTATGACAACATTTCCATTTTTGGAAAATGATCAGTGTTCCTCAGTGCTGGGTTGGTGTTTAAGAAAGTGAGTTTTTGCTAATTTTACTCATATAGAACTATACCATGACTCTAGAGTTACCTACACTGACGTTCGTCAATTATAGTTTAAGTGGCACTGCACTTACATTCATTCAGGGAGATGCTAGAATAGGAATCTAAAGAAACATTCCTTGTTCAGTGGCAAAAAAATTCCTTGCTTACATTCAAGAAGTAATTTAGGCATGGGGCAGTCTAGCTTTTTAATGTAATTAGCATCTTTAAGTCTTGTAAAAAAGTTCTCCACACGTTGCTCAGGCAGATTAAAAACCGGTCCCCCTTTTCGTGTTTCAGAAGCCTGGAGACAGAACCCTTGACTTCTGTGGGACAGTGAGATGCTATGAACTGATTACCCCAGATACCAGTAAGAATGTAGAAATGATATCAGAGGGGTCACAATCAGTTTGAGAGGCACCAGCAGTATAAAACAAATATCAGCAATGCTGACTAAGAGTTGGGAGCCAATCAGATAGAAGTCTGAAATATTATATGGCAGTCAATCATGAAGTTCAGTGTGATTTGGGACTATATAAGCAATGGGATTTTATAACAAACAAGGGCAAAATAGGATGCCCCAACCTGGAATATTGGACCTCAGGACTGAAAAGAAAGAAGCAACTGGAGGGAATCCAGAGGAGATCATCTACAATGATGGTTTTAAAGGAAAATATGAACTTTATAGTGTAGCCAAACCACAGTCAGACCCAAGGGGCATGACAAAAATCTACAAATAGCTTGGGGGTCTAAACACCAAGAGTAAAGAGGAATTTTGGCTGGAGATAAGAAAAATTTCAAGGGATAAAGTTAAGAAAAAGGAAATTTAGGTTTAACAGAATATATCCTTTGGTAGTAAGATGCGTTTGTAGAGCAGTGTCTCAAGAGGATAGAAAGAAAATTGAGTTTTCTAGGATCCTTGATAAAAGGATACCTTGATGTCAGACCAAGACCCTAGAACTTTAACTAGAATATTCTTGTGCCATGACCAGATGGAATAGATATATTTTTTATCCTGAATTTCTAGGATAATTATAACAGGGAATTAACAATGAACAGACTGTTCTGCTCTTTAATGAAAGGTATCCTAAGGCTTTGGTTAACTTCGGCTCTGAGGAAAAAACAAATAAATATGGACACTTTTCAATAGCAAGTGCCCTGGTAAAGGAGTGAAGTCATAGACACCTGAGTTTTAAAGTATGTCTATTCAAAACCATTTATTTTTAGGCCACCAGTTATATTGCTTCTGAAGCAGGCTGATGAATTGTAAGAAAGATTCTCAGGATCAATTTTACAAAACCAGCCATTTTTGAAATTGCTAAGTGAAACTCAGATCTTCCTTAATCAAGTTTGGCATAAAATGGAAGTCAGTCAGAGAGGCCAATGTGAGTTGGGTCTATATAAGCAAAGCGTTTATATAACAAACAAAAGTAAAATAAGATGCCCTAACTAAGAATGAATAAATATGCCATAAACCAAAATGACTGCAAAATAAACCTAATAGCAGGTTGGAAATCAAAATAGTTTTTAAAAATAGCTTTAAAAAATCCAAATAATTTTGTTACAAAATCTTTCTTCTAAAAGAGCACTACATTTCCCCCCTGTGTTTTAAAAGCATACATACGTACACTGGGTGTTTAAAAAGGAGCCCAAGGCTTAATTTTATGAATATTAGAAACAGCATTATTCCCATGAATGATGCAAGCTTCAGGCTAACGGAGGGTCAGGACCTGGTGGAAACATGATGATGAATTAACTGGATATGTCCTCCCCAAGTCCCAAGGGCCAATAGGAGAGTCCCTTTTCTTGTTGGCTCTCCAACATCCACATGGAAGAACATATGACTTCCTGCCTGGAGGGCATTCTTATTAGCAATACATAATCACGGCAGGGTTCCATTTTCAACCCCACTGGAACATATATGAATCATAAGTTACATTTGCTCAATCACCTTGAGTTGTAAGTGGTCTTTTGAAATGTGACTCTGTTAATCATCTACTCCAAATGCCAAAATCCAATGAGGCGTAACCAGTTCCATGCAATGGTATCCAAATGGTAGAGACATTAAGTGTTTTCATTACCAGTGACAAGTTACAAGGTATTGTTAACTAAGGAAAGGGCTGGCAAGATGGGCCCTCTTTTACTTCTAATGTCGACTTGTTTGAAGAGGGAAGAAAGCAAATGCCAACAATCCCCCAAATGTAATTTGCTGTGTTGTCATCAGGTAGGGGAGTAAGTGATTTTCAGTGCTGAGCCTCTTCACAGCACACCTAATCGCTGACCACTGAGACTACTGAAGTCTCAGGGTGAGAAGAGACGGACAGCAGTGAGGGTGATGGGGAATTTGTATGTCTTTCTGTCTTCAGGCAGCAGATAAAGTTACCAGAAGGAAATCTCTGGGTGCAATCTGTCCAGCTACATATACATTAGGGATCCTGGTGGCCAAATGAAGTCTTTGTGGAAGCATCGAATTCTTTTGTTAGACTTCATGAGGTGCCTACTCCTAGATAGTCCAATATCTAGAAATGTCACACTTCTAAAAAAGACAAATTAATTTCCCTCCTGAAATTTGTATAGGTAATTTAGTCTTCAAAAATCAAAGTTGAACAGTTCTGATATATACACAAGGTGAATGTTTGTGTCAAACATCTGTAGGTGTATGTTCATTGTAAGTTAAGCCATCTTTACATTTGCATAAAATTCTCTTCACCCTGAAGTTGTGAAAGAGGACACCCAAAGTTAAAGAAGGCATTTCTAGTATCCTGTCTGCTCCCCTGTTGAGAAGTTGTAAGAAGGTACCTTGGAAAACTTAAATGGTGAGTCTAAGGCCCCCAAGAAGGGGAGAGGCTTTGTGCTTTACAGATTCCAGGAGTCGGACAGTGGAAGGGAAGCTGCTCTCAGACACCTTTTCAAACAAGGAGCGTTGACATCGCCAGCGTTTTCTAGCTTCTCCAGAATGTGGCCCTGGTGTGCTGAGCCCAGAGGCATCCTGGAGCCGAACTCCAACCGGAGACCAATGGCATTGTGAGCGCCAATCTCCTCAGCCTCTGGGCTGAAGCTGCTCCTGGCGCCTGCCGGGCCTCACCCCTCCTCCTCGAGTACATTTACACACGACCCTCACAGGGGGAGAGCCCCTTCCCCCATTTTTCTTAGTAGGTTCCCATCTCCAGCCCATTCATTGACAGCTGCTGCGTGTGAACTGAATATCTTTCCTTTTTTAAAACAAAACCAGCAGGAGGGAAAAAAGGGAAGGCAGGAGATTTAACTGCAACTAAAGAGCAACCGGTCCTGGGCTGCCCATCTGACCCCAGTGGGTGGGGTGCAATCTGACACTTCCTCTCCTTTCCAGAAACGTGAGTGGAGCTGGCGTCCCCCTTGACCTGGGGGAGGGGAGATGAAGGGTGGGGGGAGAAGGTCCGCACTTCCGTCCTTAGGCTGTATCCCCTGGAGACCCCGTATCAGTGGTAAGCTGCGCGCAGTGCGCGCGGCTCCCAAGTTTGGCGTCTGGAAAACTCCACGTTCTTTCTCCTGCTCTTGGCTCCACCGCAGTTCCAGACCTGGCTGCTCCTCCCCAACCCCCGTCGGCCTCCCCGCTTCCCACTGCTTCTGCCGGGAGCGTGCAGGGACATCTCCGTGCCTGCCCTCGGCCAAGGCTGGGCGGTGAACATGGAGAGCCCCTCTTCGGCGGGGCGTGGGCACCCGCCCCCGGGGCTCTCTCCTTAGCTCTCTGAGCGCGGCCAGGAATTCTCTTCCGCTATAGCCACTCAACCCTTGGAAGGCCCTGGGCGCAGCATGCACCGTTTCCGCGCTTTGTAGCCGGACTGGCACCCCACTGGAACCTGGAACTTGGAGACGCCCTTTCGCCTACCCAGTCGGAGGAGTGGGTGCAGCAGCCTAGTAGAGGCCATACGCGCAACCTCAGGGGGCCGGACGCGGCGACCGTGCAGCGCGGGCGCAGCGCGGGCGCCCGGCTCTAGTGCCAGCGCGAGTCCTTTTCCGCGCAGGGAGCGCGACGGGTGCGCCCTGGGCGCACACCCAGGAGGTCCCCTCCCCGGCCCTGGGGACCGTCCGCAGGGCGCGAGGAGGAGCTTGCTGGAGACTTCGAGGCTGTCCTGAGCCAGCGAGTGGGAGCGCGGCTCCCGGCCTCAGCTGGGAAGGGGGAGTGGCGCTGGAGGGCTGGAGCTGGGAGCCCAGCTAGCGCCTGGCCTTCCCTTCCTGCCTGACCCCTGCGCTTGGGGAAGGTTCCAGCAGCTGCAGGAGCCCCCGGCCCCTTTTCCTAGCAGGCTGGTAATGGGTCTCCTGCCTCTGTCCCCGCTGGGGCACTTGGAGCGCGCCGGTGGCGCGTGAGCCGGGCACTGCCCCCCCACCGCCCTCCGAGAGCCTGGGGCTGGCCCCGCCGCACAGCCTCGCCTGAGCCCCCTTCTTTCTGCGCCCTAAATCGCTGGCGGGGAGCCGGAAGAAGGTGGCCCTCGGGCACAGCGCCGCCGAGATGTCCGCGCAGAGTCTGCTGCACAGTGTCTTCTCCTGCTCCTCTCCCGCTGCGGGCGGCGCGGCCTCAGCCAAGGGCTTTTCCAGGAGGAAGCTGCGCCAGACCCGGAGCCTCGACCCGGCCCTGATCGGCGGCTGTGGGGGCGAGGCCGGCGCGGAGGGCGGCTCGCGGGGGGCCACCGGGGGCCGCCTCTGCACCTTGCTGTCCGCGGCCGAGGGTCTCGGCTCCCGCTCGGCGTCCTCTCGGGCCCCACCCCTCCGGACCAACCGACTCCCGCCCCCTAGACCCCTCTGCTCGTCCTTCTCGACACCCAGCACCCCGCAGGAGAAGTCACCCTCAGGCAGCTTCCACTTTGACTATGAGGTACCCCTGGGGCGCGGCGGCCTCAAGAAGAGCATGGCCTGGGACCTGCCTTCCGGCCTGCCTGGTCCAGGCAGTGGCCGCAGCGCTGTCCTCTGCTCCTCCGCGGGAGGCCCCAACGGCATCTTCGCTTCTCCCAGGCGGTGGCTCCAGCAGAGAAAGTGCCAGTCTCCACCCAACAGCCAAGGCCACCCCTACGTCGTGTGGAAGTCCGAGGTAGGGTCCAGTGCCTGCGTCCTTAAGGCCTAAGGCTGGACACCTGGGCAGTTCTTTAATTCCATCACATTTACAGAGCCGGGGACCTATTGAGTTTCCATGGTGTGGCTTTTCCTCTTTGGCTGGTTGAATGGGATGTCCCTAGTGGCCACCCGCGTGTGTCTTGTTAGGACTTGGCTCTACTTTGGAGCAGTGGTGGGAGCTGGAGGAAAGGACGGTGTGTATTCTGTATTCCTATTTGCACTGCAGGCAATTTTAAAGGCTATCTTATCCTTTCACCCGAGGTGGATTATTTTTTGGAACTCAAGTGATCTATTTCTAAGCTCTTGCAGGGATTAGATGAAATAAATGTTGAATATGTCTACCGTCTGGTTGTTCTACAGAGACTTCAGGACATTTTTCTGGCGAGTGTTGTTGTTTGTGTGTGTTGGTCTGTGTTTGGGTGGCAGAGAGGAGTAACTACTAGAATTCTCTAGTTTTGATCTTGTCTTCTCCCTAAAGGTCTAATTGAAGAAATCTGTGGTACTGATTACTAGTTGAATCTAGAAGAAAAAAAACCTCTGTGCTTAAGGCTGTGGAAGATCATGGAAATATGTCCAAATTCCACTAAGGACAACTAGTAGTTAGTGAAAAAATACGTGAATTGGGAATCATTAATAAATGGGGAACTCAGAGGGAGGTATTTGGTACCTTTAAAATGTTTGCTCTCTGGTTCAGAAGAATGGAGAAGAGAACTACTTGGAAGCTGGTTGGCTGGTACTTGGAAAGCAGAATGCTTTTAGAGAATAAACAGTAGTTGTTTTAAAAATGAACAACTGTCTTTCAGTCCACAAACTCTATAGATTTGCCTTGGATCTGTTTCCATAAGGGAAGGGACATTCTATCAGTTGTAATTAAATATTTCAAAGTACAGTTAGAATTACAGAAATGAAATGAAATACCATATAATTGCTGGAGATTTAGACTAAATAAAGGAAACACAACCAAGAAAAACAGTTTGAAAATAGAATCCAAGATCATACCTCGCTCTCTTAACATGAAATAACTATATGAGATTTCAGTTTTTAATAGACTGCCTTAGAAAATCAGCAGTGCCTAGCAGAAATATTAGCATCACATGTTAATAAAATATGAGTTACTGTATCAAAGTAACTGCCGCTGTTGGGTAGAGAGTAGAGATTACCAAAATTAATAAACATTGCCGACTGTTCTATTTTCTTGAGGAAGATAGTCAGTAGAAAGAGAAGACAAGTCAGAAAGCAAGGGATTCTCTCCAAACCCGAGAACTCAACATTAGAAAGAGGATTAAAAATGTAACTGTTGAATTTCTCCTGGTCTCTCGATGGGGTTGGATTCCCGCTCTATATCAGAAGCACACATTACCAGGATAATCTGTAGGAGCTGAGAGAGAGAGAATGCAAAAGCAAGCTGATTTCTTGGGTCAGATGGCCACTGACATTCACGTTTCAACCTAGTTGCATCATTAAGAATGCCCTTGCTTGTCTTAGCTATACATACTTGTAATGTAGTACACAGATGCTGTTCGGACCAAAAGGCAGTCTACTGTAGGTGATCACGACTGGTTAGAAATTATCTTCTTATCTGTTGAAATCTCATAATCGATAGACAAATATCTGAGCTGCATCACTACTGGGTGGCTTCTCACTGTTCTGTGTAGTATGGGGGCAGTTTGCAAGCTCATCTACTGTGACTTCCACCTCTTTCCAGTGGTTAAAACTAAGTACATAACCATCTAGCAAAAGAACAAAATTTCTCAAAACGTTCACTTGTACGTGTGCACGTGTGTGTGTGTGTGTGTGATCCCTTTATTCTTGAGGCAGACATGGAGTGATTGGATGGAATGAAGTTCCAAGGCTGGTTTTGTTTAATAGAGGCCCAAAGATCCTAACATAACCCCTGGGTCTGGAATTTAATGGCCTGGATTACCTTTCAAAGGTTTAATGCCCTGGAACCCTCTCAGAAACCAAGGCAATTCATCCTGTTGAGCACTGCGTGTCCTTCTCACTTGCAGGCAAGCTGGGTCCTTTGTCCTAAAAGAGAATCGTTGCTAATGATGTCGAAAGCCCAGCAAATGAGCTTGCAAGGTTACTTATGAGCTCTGGAGGGGAGATTTGGTTCATACAGGTTTGGTTCTTGTGCTTTTCCTGGTTGCTCTTGCTCAGGGCTTCTCAGCCTCTGTACTATTGACAGTTGTGGCAGAATGGTTTCTTGTGGTGGGCTGTGCTGTGCCTTGAACGATGTTTGGCAGCATCCCAGGCTTCTACCCCCTAGATGCCAATCACAACCATGCCCACAGTGTGACAATGAGAATGTCTACAGATGCTGTCAAATGTTGCATAGGGGTCAAAATCACCCACTAAGAACCCCTGTACCACTGGCTTCATGTAGCACTCCATGCTGGCCATGTAGTGAGTGGCCAGAGAATTGCTTTTGGCTGGCATAAAGTTTCCCTGAGGCCATCGTCAAATTTTAAAACCAAGAGGATCCCTCTTGAGTAATGTCTGCAGACTTCATGGACCTCTTATGGTTTGTTGTACTTTTCTCTTTCTTTTCTATCGAATCCATAGGCAAACCTGAGAATTCACCTTCATTCCAGTTTAGCCAGTAATGGACCACAACCATTTCTGCTTAGTTCATTCAGCAGATTCTCCGGTTTTAACTGAATTGTTCATATAATGGCTCGCTCTCCCAAGACTCTCATAAATGCCTGCTGCTCTATGACTTGTGCTCACTCAGAGCTCACAAATGGCCATTTTATGGCCTATAACCAGGAGGTGTTAGACAAAGTCAGCTGTGACCCTATTAATATTCCTTACTGTGTGTTTCAGGATTGCTTTAACAAAACTGACTCATGGACATGCTGGGTAGAATATCTATTGAATAGAAAAATGGAGAAGACAAAGGCATAAATGGTACATGGCGACATAGTTGTTACATGCTACTCAACTTGTGTTCTCAGCAGCCAAGCTCTGTCCCTGATTCTGATCACAGGCAAGGGACTAAGGTCTCATTCCAACCCTGGGGTCGTCCTAATTGTCATGGATCTGAGCTGGGGTTATGCTCATAGCTGACTTGGAGTTTGCCAGCTTCAGTAACCTGTAATGAAAATGATTTCTCTCTATGCACGACTTCTTTTCTTCATTCATGCCACAAGTGCTTTTTGAGCACAAGCATTTCTCTAGGTACCAGGAATGCAGAGAAGCTAAAATATGGTGTCAGCACTTAAAGAGCTCACAGTCTAATGAGGAGGGCAGATAAATCAACTAATAGTGCAGAAGGATCAGCGCCATGAGGGACTGGGGGTGGTGATGACCCACTGTGTTTTGGGGAGTCTTAAAAGGCTTCACTGTGCAGAAATACTTGATCATCAAGGATTACTGCCATTTGTAAGGAAAAAAAGGGAAGTGATTCCTTGATGAAAGAGAAAGGAGTGGACATGCAGAGGCACAGCAGTGCTGGGGAAGCCAGAGTTTCCAGTGAAGAGGACTTAGAGAGGCTTAAGTGAGATAACTTGTTCACAGGAGGAGGTTAGGACATCGGCAGTTTAATGTATGTAGCAGCCACATGGCTTTTTACGTAGTAACCTAATGAAACCAGAAGGCAGACACATATTTGGGGGATGATAACTAACCATTGGCATGGATAAAAATGGCAGGAGGGCCAGTGCACATTGCCCCCCATCTAAGGCACCTGTTGGCGTCAAACCTGCAAAGAGGTGAGAGGATGTAGTGTGTTACTGAAGTTAGACGTTTGGTGCGCCTGGAGCATAGACCGTGTCTTGCTGTGGTGGGTAGTGGTATTCAGCAGGTTGGGTAGCACCTGTTATGAAGAGCCCCACTGTGCATGGCTCAGGAGTTTGGACTCTACATTTTGTAGAGCAGTGGTTCTCAACCTGGAGACAACTTCGTCCTCAGGGGACATTTATCAATGTCTGAAGACAGTTTTGGTTGTCACGGTTGGGTGTGGTGATGTATTAGTTTCCTATTGCTGCCATAATAAATGCCCCAAACTTAGTGGCTTAGAGCAACACGACTTATTACCTTATAGTTCTGGAGGTTGGAAGTCTGAAATGGGTCTCATTGGGCTAAAGTCCAGGTGTTGGTAGAGCTGTGTTCCTTCTGAAGGCTTTGGGATCTGTTTCCTTGGTTTTTCCAGTGGCCCCCTTCCTCCATCTTCACAGTCAGCCATGTTGCATCCCTTTGACCCTCTTCCATAGTCATTTCTCCCTTAGACTCTCTTGAGGACCCTTGTGATTACACTGGGCCCACATAGGTAATCCAGGATACTCTCATTATTTTAAGGTCAGTTGATTAGCAACCTTTGATTCCATGGGCAAATTAATTCCCCTTTGTCATGTAACCTACCATATTCACAGGTTCCAGAGCTTAGGGCATGGATATCTTTAGTTACAATAGGGGGAGGTGCTACTGGCATCTCGTGGGGCAGGAGCCAGGGATGCTTCTAAATACTCTACACTGTATAGGACAGCCCCACAACAAAGAGATATTTGGCTGTTGATGTCAAGAGTGCCCAGGCTGAGAAGCCCTGCAGTAGAGAATGGGGGTAGTCAGTGATTTTTTAAGCATGAGGCTGTACCATAGTCAGATAGGTGTTTTAAGAGGATCACTCTGGTGTCTGGGGCTGGGGGACATGGATTAGCATAGTAGAACAAGTGGGGGGACAGATACTCAGAGGTGGTGGGCATGGGGACCCACCAAGCATCCTATAAGTAGTTTGCAAATGGACATAATACTTCTGTATTTCTTACTTTTCCATTTTTGCAAATTGTTTTCTTGTGCTATTGAGCTACTTCCAATAGCTTGGTCTCTGTAGACCAGTGGTTCTCAACCAGGGACACGTTTGTACTCTGGGCACATTTGGCAATGCCTGGCAGCACTTGGGATTGCCACAGCTGGGGCAGGGGTTTGTTACTGGCACCTGGCGGGTAGAGGCCACTGCTGCTTATCATGCTACAATGC